CCCCCAAACACACACACACACACAGATCGAAGCTGTAGATCGAGTTGTCTGATCGGAATATCGATGCGTTTTCTAGTCTTGAAACTTTCATTGCTGTTAAATTTGACCCCGTTTATCTGCTGCCACAGTCTTGCAGCTGCCAAGACTCTAAATTATACACAAGTAAATACAGTACATCCAAGTTTCATTTTCTGTTCAGCCATGTTCAGTCTCTAGGCTGGTTACATAACAACAGCTTAAAGGTTATTTAACATCACCAGGTTAATTCTCATCTTTAGAATAAAAAAAACCAATTTGTATTCATCTAATTTTCTTGAATTTGATTTATTTTGTCTGTTTCATTCAACCATCAATACAAAACCTGAATATATCTATTTTACTATTAATGTATGACAAAGAAAAAGTTACACGCTTTTCACATTTGGTTGATCAACTAACAGAATAGTCAATTCAAGGTGGACCTCCACGATATTAATGTGAAAGACGGTTTAATTTGGGGACTTCTATATCCTAGGCTGGTTTTATGGAAGCACCGTGAGTCTGATTTTCTTAGCAGTGAAACTCAGTCATTGCAGGTACAGCAGTTAAACCTGTGCTCTCACCATTGTAATTACACTCCTACGGCATAGTTTTGCAAAATTGAAAATTATATTTGTAGCCGTTTGTCACAATTGGGAATGTAGTCCCTTCTGCATTCCTTTGATACAGTCTCTGACAGTGTAACAGTTGTTTACGTTACATGTGTGTGGGTGAGGGGTGTGTATGGGGATGTGGAAGGTGGGTGTGGTGGCTGAAACAGACACCAACACAGTGGGACAAACACCAGCACCACTGGAGTTCATACACCGGACCTGCTTTTCTCTCCTTGTTCTTGTAACTGCACTGTGGGCAAATTTCCGAACTCCCTCTGTACAACCACTCTGCTGCAGGACGCTGGTTGGTAGTGAAGTAAAAGCATGTTGGAAGTGACGCTGCTTTTTTCAGTTTCACAGAAGCTGCTTGTAAAGGACAGTGCTTGCTTTGTAGAATGAACAACTGGTGTTATACAGTAGCGTTTGATATCAGGATCAGATCTGGAAAATTCAAACAGACGACATGTCCTGCAATGGCACGGTATTCTTCTAACCAAAGAAATTTTAACGATGAGTTTCTTCCTGCGTGATTTCTCCTTCAGATGTGAAATATAAGTAGCTCAAATAACAATACAAAATCTCCTTGAAATCTGTCCTGTGCATGTGGAAAAGTATATCTCTATAAAGGGTGATATATGGATCATTTACAGGCCTTTGACTATCCTGGCAGTGTTTATGATATCGTATCACATAGCCCTTTGCATGCCACGCCGTGCGTTTACATAACATTTAAAGGTGTGTGTGTTAACCTGCTGTTATTACAAGTCCATGTGCATTCTCTTCCTCTGAGAGCTGAGGTATGATTTCCTTGTCAAGCCCCATGCTTTGACTGGGATGTTCCCCACCTGTGTAGATTTGAATAGCACAACTTCCTCCATGATAGAGAAATAAAGCTCTTTGTTGGTCTTTTGGGTCATGTTAGTAACAGAAGTGCAACATCCTGTGCGCTTTCTGGGATGATTTTTATGCAGATGCTACACTATCCTAGTTGCATAGTCAACTGTAACCCTTCTGGGGCAGCGAGCAGCATGGCTGTGCCTCTGGCTTCCTCCAGCACAGCTGTGGGAACCACTGCTTCACCAGCACAAGGGCTCTCAAAACAGTGGAAAATCTGAAAAGGCTTGTCGTCAGCCTGGCCCTTCTGTTGTTGCTGTTTTTGTTTTTATTTCCGTGGTGTCTGCAATGGTCTCATGAACAGAGGGCCTGTTTCAGATGGACTGCAGTGGCCTCGCTGCCCCCGGCCGCACATCATAATAGGGACTCTCCTCGGAATAGCCCACAAGCCGAGGAATTCTGCAGCGTCTATGCCTCCAGATGTCTGACTGTGTTTTTAGCCCATGTCCATGCTGCTGTTTAGCCGGCGTGCAGCGAGAACAGCAGTGTGTGTATGTTGTTTGTATGTGTGCTGGCTCTCTCTCGCTCTGTGTGAATTTGCCCACTGCTGTACACTCTCTGACAAACGCCAGATTTTAAGAAGGCTTCACGTTTGCACACTTGTCATGCATGTCTGTACCAGAATATGTGACCGAGCTTCTGCGTGTCTGCGCCCTTAATTCACCAAATCAAAATGGGTACGCACCAGATAAGGCCTGTTTTAGATTATTATAATTTTGCTTTTCTTACAAGAAGCTTTACTCTCTGGCAACTACAGCACTCAAAAGCCCTAGAGCCACCTGGAGGCAGAGAGAAAGGAAAAAGCGGAGACAAATCGAGGCCCTTCTTTGATCTCGTGACACATTTTTCTCTCATTGTTTCTCAAATCTGGGGTTACTTGGCTTCATCCTCCAAACTTCCTGCTTCAGCCTGTCTTACATTTAGATCAAAACATTTACTAACCGATCATTTGACCTTGGGATTTTGCAGTACATCCCATCCTAACTCTCACATCCTGTAAGTTTGTGTGGTATTTGGGGTATTTTCTGTCTTCACACTCATCCTTGTTTGTGTCTGTTTGCTCTTTCAGATCGTCACACAATGAGCTGGAGAAACACAGGTAAGGTGACCTCGAGAGTCCTTTGACCTACCCCATCCCTCATGTCGGTCTGATTTGCATGCGTTTACCCACCAGTATATACTTCCTAACATACCAAGTGAAGGGATGCTGGTTGCGGGTAAACGCCAGATATCTTCCTCTCAGTGAAAAGTGCCAGAATTTTAGAGGTCATCTTTAAAAAGCCAGAGACTGAATCAATGAATTCTTCATATTTGAAAGCCTGTAATAAGCTGATTTGAACGAGCGGCTTCATGTTGATTAGATCTGGCTCCATTTCATGGATGAAACTCATTAGCTTGTATGGAAAGGGAATCCTGTTAGTAATGTGATAATCCTACCCAGACGGATGCTGTGAATGGAAGCGGGGTGAATCTGGCACCTCTCCTGTCAATTCTCAAAATGAGAATCCCACAAATCACGCACACACACACACACACACACACACACACACACACACACACACACACACACAATCTTGCTTTACTACTCCCAGCATGCACTTCACTGCAGCTAACACCATTTTTTCTTTTCCTCTCCTCGGGGTACAGCGCGCAGCTTGTGGTGATGCGATAATCTTGCTCATTAAAGGCAAAGAAGTCCGATTTTGCTCGGTTTTGACTTCACCAATGAGGGAAGTGACTTCACAGAGTCAAAGGGGTGTCTTGTCAGGATTGATACAACAATCCCCTCTCCGTCATGCTGCTTTTGAGAAGATTGTTTGGCAGAAATAGTGAAACAATTTGTTACTTTTGGTGCATTTTTGCTGGGGGGGACTTAGGAAACAGCTGATGTGACTATCAGCATGTGCGCAGAGGGTGTTTGCGATGGGTGTGTGAGGTTGTCTGTGCGTGACACACTGTCACCCACGCTGATGGATTGGGGTTTGCCAGTCACATGTCTGTGAGTGAGTAATGGATATGTGTAGAGCAGAGAGAAACAAGTAAGGACATATTCCTCTCTGGCCTGACACACGGAGAAGGCCCCGGCTGATTATGTTGCAGGTGTTTAAGAAAACACCAGTTACCTCATGCCCGATGTTAGGGTGTAACAGTGAAGTGATGTCCAGTCAGTCTGACAAATGCCAGTAAAAAGTTCCATAATCAGTTTACTCACTTCCTTTATCAGCGTCTACAGCCACAATGTTCTAAAAAAGACTTTTTTTTGTAACATCCAGTGCTGTGTCATGACTGTAATGTTGAAACATCTGACTTCTCCTACGTACTTGCTGACGTTTTGGTCGTGATGTAATGGCTTTCATAAATACCAGGGTTTTGCCTGCCATAGAAAGGCTTAGGTAGAGCGCCTGGGTGTTTCTGTGCAGCGCCTAAACCGAATGAATGTAAAAAACGTGACATATCAGAATCAGTGTAAAAACAGCATAGAGGTGACTTGTTTCTCAAAATGGAACATAAGCTGGCAAAAGGAATGAGCCTAAAGTTTGACCTGCGACCTACTGTACGTGTCCGAACCCGACCTGGACCTGAACATAATTTCAGAATTCCTGTCTGAGCCCGGTCCAAACCCTTGGGTACCGACGGGTCCCATCAGGAGATAGGAGGATGTAGCCTATTTCATAAGTAAAGAAATTGCTAGCGTAGCTAACATATTCTGAATTTAAGTTTCATTAGCCAAGGAAGCTAATTAGCTGTCATTACATAAATGATGTTTGAATTTCCTGTGAATAATTAACACCCCCCCCCCCCCAC